TGGAAGAAAAAAATTTACCAGAAATTGAGGGATGCTTGTGTTCAGTGGTGCTCACACAGGCGACCCACGCTGAGCAGGTGCTGTGTCTGATTAATAAAAAGGGGAGAAATAAATGCAAGTTGTTTGCCAAGAAAAAAAAAATCATTCAGATACTGAGTCCACTAGGAGAACTATCAAAAAGGATCCTTGGAGAAGGAAATTTATTACCGACCACTAGCAGCAGCACATCTGGGCCTGGAGTCCTCACTATGGCCCCTACTGGGGCGAGCCCCTGGCACTGCGCCTCTTTTAGGCCTCATGACAGGTACTAATACACACAGCCCTTGTGCAGGTTGCAGCACAGAGAAGTTTAAATAGCTGTCCAGGGATCACACAGCTATGGGCAGCAGAGAAAGAACATGAAGCTGGGAACTCTGGCTCTAGGGCCCCTCTGAGTACTAAACCAAGGGTCCAGAGCACCAGGGATCCTCAATGTGACTCAAGTCCCCTTCCATTAAAAAATGGGTCCAGGCCAGGCATGGTGGCTCACATCTGGAGTCCTAGCCCTCTTAGAGGCCAAGCCGATGGATAGCTTGAGCTCAGGTGTTCCAGACCAGCCTGAGCAACAGTGAGACCCAGTGGCCAGCGCCTGTAGTCCCAGCTACTCAGGAGGCTGAGGCAAGAGTTCACTTGATCACCCAAGCCCAAGAGTTTGAGGTTGCTGTGAGCTACCATACCATGGCACTTTACCTAGGGCAACAGAATGAGACTGTCTCAAAAAAAAAAAAAAAAAAAAGGTCCATTGCTATTCCCCCAGGGCATAAGTGACAAGGTCCGTGGCCTTCTCCCTCCAGAAACATCCTTTGGAGGTGTAGGCTCCTTCAGGGTTACTTTAGATCCACTGCCAGCAACTGACCACACTGGCCCAGGCAAACCCGGCGCTGGTCCCCTCACCTGTCCCTCACCTCTCAAGTAAAACCAATCCAACCTTTGCTAACGGGAGGGCGGGGCCCAGTCAAAATATGGGATGGGGATGGGGCGGTGGTTCTGAGAAGGCTCCACTAGGGCGTCCCCAGGGGAGCCCCTGTGCTGGGGTCCTTCCACGCCTAAATAGCCACATTTAGTTTCCATCTAAATTCTCAAATGCACCCGTGATACACATGCTAAAAAGGGTTAAGAGCCTCTGTCCTCTTGCCCGTGACCTGGAGCCTGAGACAGGCGGGTCCCCTTGCCGAAGCCTGCTGGACCTGGTGCAGCCCAAGCTGGTCGCGGTCGTCCGCAGTCTCTTTGTGCTTTGTCATCCCGCCCCCGCTGGGTGGGCCACAGGCGCCAGCCCTCGGTGCACCTGACACCACGATGGGGGTCTGCGGAGGGGCGCTGCCCGGGTTGCCGGCTCCCAGTACAGGCTCGCGGTGCCACGAGGGAAGCGCGACCTCCCGGCCCAGTCACCCACCTGCGGGCGCGGCTCCGGGTCTCGGCGTCGTCCACTCGCGGCGGCTGCGAGGCCGCTTCCTCCCACCTGACCTCACAGGAAGCGCGCGCGGAGGGGCGCGGCCGGCCGGCGGCGCAGCAACCCCCTCTGTAGGCCTCCCGGGGAACTGCAGCTCCCGGCCGGGCGCGGGCGGGGGAGGACGGGGAAAGGGAGCCTGATGTGTGAGGGCAGGGATGGGGAGGGAGGAGAGAGGATGCGGAGGAGAAGACAAATGGAAATGAAAGAGAGAAAGGAAGAGAGAGGAGGAAAGGCAAGCGGAGCCCACTGAGGAAAAGCCCAAGGGGGTGGGGGCGTCCCTGCCTCCGTGGATGCCTTTGGCTAGGATATAGCCCAGCCCTTAAGGAATTCCAAGTCTAGTGGGGAAGTTTGGGGCAGATGCCTTTGAATTAGGGCCAGAAGGGAAGGTAGGAATTTGCCTGTCAGGGAAGTAGAAGACACCAGAAGGCACCACCTAGGTGGAATAAACAATCAACCTCTGCTACCTTCCTTATGTTTTCAAATCCACCCACCTCACCTGCAGAAGCTGCTCCCTGAGGACCTGCTCACCAGTGAGGGAGAATGGGCTGTGCAGACCCGCGGTCTGGGTTCAGGCCCTGGACTTTGGCAAGTTGCTTAGCTGCTCAGCATCCTTGTCTGCAAATGGGCTGTAATCATAGCCTTACAGGATTGTCGTGAAGATTAAGTAAGATGTCCTTGGCACATGGCAAATGTTGACACATTAGCTATGATTATCAGTCAATGGATGTTTCTGGGACTGGGCAGATATTTACTAAGCATATATTAAGACCAGGTGCCACTAACTCCTGGGTGGAAGGAACATAAAGAGTGAGACTTAGACCCTCTCTCAAAGGCTCATAGTCTGCCACCAAAGATTATTTGATCATGAAACCTTATTAATAAAAAAGTTTCATAGGTCCCCCATACCTGTGCCTTATTTGTATGTTCTTATGTATTTCTGTTTGTTTATGAATTACATGCGTGTACTGTGAAAGCCAATTGGCATTGTGGATAAAAGGCAGCTGCTGGAACCAGCCTGTATTGGAGTCTTGGCATGGCTTTCTAACAGTGTGATCTTGGACCAGCTGCTTAATCTCCCTAGCCTCAGTTCCTTCACCTGTAAAATGGAAATAATAGTACCCACCTTATGCAGTTTTAATACAGCACTAAGCACTTCATGGAAAGTGACTGGATGGAAGCCTGACTGTAGTAAGTGCTCCAGGGCTGCAGGCTGTTATTACTACTGTTCTATGCTAAGTCATTATAAAGCATGCACATTTTAAAAGAATGGAATTTTAAATGAATATAAACCAAAATCCTAAAGCTGTCTTTCTGCTCCCTGATGTATTCCAGCTATACACAATGCATATGCCTTGCCCTTCACAAGGCAGTATGCCTAATAGAGGAGGTCTGTGGATCTCAAAACTCATGCACATTAGAATTGCCTGGAACTTAGAAACCATCTCAGTGCCTGAGTCCCACACCAAAGATGAAAATATTATTGATCTAAGATACAACCTGGGCATGGAGAACTTTTAAAAACCAATCTTTTTTTTTTTTTTTTTT